TGCAAACAGGAAATGTGACATTGTTGTGTGGTGTAAATGTCTGAAGACTCAATTATATTGCAAACTATTTCCCAAGCCTGAAGGGAGCTCTTTAACCTAGTTGTTCCACAGTTTACTGAGCGCCTACATCTAACTATTGATCCGGCAATCAGCTGTCGAGATGGATGGAGAGAGACGTGGCAGCTCGACAACACAACGGCTCTTTGTCCCACACAACTGGCCCCGTCAGTCACATCGCCGCTGTCTCTCTTCAACCATCAGCCTCCATCTAGCAGGAGAGGAGGGAGACGTCTGTGACGGGACGGGGATATAATCGCCAGAGAGATGGATCTTTTCTATTCTGTTAATTATGCTTTTGCCCATCCTTCCTTCTCCATCCTCAGACCCGTGAGCCAGAAATCAATCAAGGTCAAGCATCATTAATGTTGTCCATCCAATCGTTTGAATGTGTCCCAGAGGAGACAAGAGAGGAGGCTACAGGATGGCCTATGCTATCCTAAGCTAAGACGAATGCTGCAACTAATGATGGTTTTTATTATCAGTTAGCAATTATTTTTCTAGTTTCAAACAATTGATCTACAAAAAGGTCAGAAAATACTGAAAATGTCCATCCCTGTTTCTCAAAATCAAAGTTGATGTCTTGCTTTTTCAGTCCGAAACCCATAGACGACATATAGACATTTGAATTGAACTTAACACAGATGTATTTAAAACTATTGAATGGAGGCCTTTGCTTTAGGTTAGGTCCTGGTATGGTTGTTGCTGGCGCCAAAGCTAAGAAAACATTTAGAACAATTTAAAGAGGAGTTATACATGCTTGTCTCAGGTTTAAAAAACTGCTACAAAAATGTCACACGAGTCCCTTTAGCCCAATGGAAAGTACCCAGAGACACCCCGCCCTGCACCATTAGGATCCCTCATTGGGTCCCAGTTACACAGGCCGAGCATCTGTCGTCCAACTTAAGCCTGAACGGATGATCACGGGAGCATGTGGGGCCATAGGAGGACGTGTTCACAGACCTCTGTCCTGTCCCGGGACCAGCACCACTACAGTCCTGCACCACCTACTTTTAAACTTTTATGGTGCTTTTACACATCTACGCAAAAATTGTACTTATTATTCAAATGTATCTGAAAGCTACAGCATCCAGGTACTTTTCAAAATTAAGATTTCTACGGTGTCTCACAGGTGCAAATGCACTACAACGGCCCAATATATTTCCTAAAAGAGCAACGCGCTGCAGCTTCAGAAACGGTGCAGATATAAAAACACAAGTCTGCCAAAATACATGCAAAGGAAGAAACATCTTCACGAACTTGACCACACATGCGTAGCATTTAGAATACATTCACCAACTTGACGAAACATCGTCAGGGTTTACTTAAAGCGCTGCATAAACAAAAGAAAGACAGCAAAACGCTGCAAGTTGGCCTCTCTGTCAAAAAATGTAAGAAAGAATAATAATAATATTTGACTTTAAGTGACTTTGTTAACATAACTCTGCATTAATGAGGCGTTGGAGGCTCCAGACTCAAAGTGGAAAACGTAAGACAACATATTGGTGGAATAATAATTTTCATCTACCTTGTAAACCAGTAGGAAATGTGTCTTTTTCTGAATTAATTATTTTGGTCATTGCTGATAATAATATAAACATTGCACCTTAATTCTGAATGCATGACTTGTTGTGATGGATTATTATAGCTAAATAAAAGTATTACTTTAACTTAATTCAGATATTCATACCGCAACTTTTAGTTTGTAGGGGGGCAGAGATGGAAGAAGTACTCAGATCTTATACTGAAGTAAAAGTAGAAGTACCAGATCTGCAATCAAAGTGTTACTCAAGTAAAAGTAGAAAAGTATTGGCATCAAAATATAGAAAATAAAAATAGAAAATACCCAAAAGTTAAATGACTTTTTATGCAGAATGGTCCATTTCAGACAAGTTAAATGTTTTGTACATTTACTTAGTTACTTGACACCACTGGGGGGGGGGGGGGCTGAAACTGACATTCAATAATAAGAATAAAATGTCAGTAAAAATCTTTTTTAGTGGATAATTGGGACACAGTCACCTTCCCAGCCGGATGCAATGATAATTTAAAGTTTTAAACTAACATATCAATGCTTCAACGGATTTCTGTAGCACTTCTTGAAGAATTACACCCTTGATGTAATGTGAGGTTTAAATGATCACTAGTGGGAGAAAGTCTGCAGGCCGAAATGTTTTGGTGAAAAAACATGGCTGGTTATTAACTCCAGCTGATAGAAATGACTCTTGGCAGGTCATTTTTTTCCAGTTTAGCAGATGCTGGAAGGGGACATTAGCGCAGGTTGACACAGCTCAGAAACAGCACCTACTGTATGGGGTGCTACACTTAAGTGCTGTGTCATGTTCAGAGATACAAAAACAGTCACATCACAGCATTAACTGCTAATCCGCAACAACAGAACAAGGTCTTTGACTGCACGGTAGCTCTAGAGCTCGCCGGTCAACACTGAGGCATTAAAAAGAGCCGGGCATCATGTTTTTTTGGTCACTTGATAAGAGGTCTGAGTTTCTGCATGAGCATGCAGGCCGCTGCAGAACATGAAGCAGTCAGAGAGGCAGGGCTGCAGGAGCTCATCCATGAGGAGGAAGAATGATGGATTTGTCCCGGTCCACAGGGACTGAGGGAGGTGAGGTGTGGCCGGCTGGTTGTGATAAAGCTGGAACTGAATTTGTATTTTTGTCCCCAACACGGTGCTGTGAATCCAGCAGTCCCTGCTCAATAAAAAAGGTTTGCAGTCAGTGTCGCTCAGTTTTGGACCTCCCTTAGATCTGAGGCTTCAGGAATTACCAAACATCTTTATATTATTAATCTTAGCCCAATGTTTCATTTTTATTTTGAAGCTGTTTCCAATAAGGGCTTTTAGGCCAAATGCATTGATTGTGAGTCTCTTGCAGACCTATGTTTACTATCATCCTAGTTTTCAAAATAAATTGGGGGCAGTGGTACAGGCTGTCAATACAGGTCGGCCTACATTACAACAAACATTTGTTTTGGGACGTATTATCTTCTTCAAAGTAGTTATAATAAAAAACTTGGATGGACCTTGGATTGTTTTTTTTGTTTTTTTAAGTAAAACCAGACAACTTTGCAACTTTTTCGCCTCGTAGGGTTTCCAATCATTATTATTGGGATGCTATCACAATCACAACCGGATCCTTGTTCGTTTCCTTATTCCAGGGAATAGCAACTGCAAAGACCTTAACTCTATGCTAAATGCGAATAGCTCCTATAAGCTACCATGGGAAAACCAAAGCGCTATCCTCTTTCTGTTTGTTGCACTTCCCTTGTGCCTTAAATTAAGCCATCATTTCCCAGGCAGATTGTACACAGAGGTAAACAGTATTGCATAGTTAATGCAAGGCCTCAACATAAGGGCCAATTCTTCTACAACCTTTGGGTCAATCAACATTTAATGGTCTGTTGCCACCCACTTTTCTTCACACAGTTCCATTCATCTGTTTAAGTATGTTTAAAAAGTGATATTTTAAAACCATGGGAACATGACACAAACACCACAGTACGTATGTGTGCTATCTAACCATGCATAGTTTTCGTCGTTTGTGTGAACCAACCCTCTTCATTTGACCTTATAGAAACATAAAGCTTGTCAGAATACTGTACGTCATGTTTGAAAGCCATAAACCAAATGATGTTCCTTTTATGGTTTGCTGAAGGGAAACTGCTGCAAGCACACAAATCATAAACATGAAATCCATTTGTTTAAAGACAACTCCCACGGGGGCCTGAAAGAAAGGGCAAAGGGGTTTGATGTATATCAAAAGTTGATATGTGCTTCTGGAGTGTATTGCTGCTGTTGTTCAGGGCTCACACTCTCTGCCCCCAACCCTATCTCATATTGCAGGAGGTCGTTTTTTAACCGAACTGGAGAAACATAGGTCTACAGACGGGGTCGTTCTGTGCACCCTGAGTCCCACTCCTCACAGCTGCAGCTCTGCTTCCGCATGCTCTGCAGCTTCCTGCTGACTCAGCACCTAACTTCTTCTTCTTTTTTTTTGTTCTAGCTTAATGTGTCTCTCAACACAGGATGTCAGCTGCATTTCATAAGATGGGTCTGTGCCAACTCTGCATGAACACATGTCCGCCCCGGCTCCACTCTCACTCTGCAGGGAGTGATTCAAGAATGTCTATAATGTTCTGTTTATGTCACTGAGCAATCCTGTCGTTCCTTTATACATCTTCTCCTTTTTTTTTACCCTTTATACATTTGGCGGAGAAATAATAATTACAATGTTTGAAACAGATGGTGGACGGCAATATTGTGCTTGCTGAGGAAGTTGGGCCTGCCTGTAGAGGAAGAGATAAAATGCCCACACATGCTCCTACTTTTTTTTCAGTTGGACATGACTGTGTTTCGACCCCTGATCGTTTCCATGGAAGCTCCTTAACACACGTCAAGGTGTGAATCATCACCTTTGCAACATCATTTTTATGGTGAAAGCCTTGTCAATTAAAAGTTGTCATCTCCCTTACAAGCTATCAGCCCATCACGATGGTACAACCTCATAAGGTGTGTCAAAAGCTTCTATTGCCTAGTCCTACCATTCAAAAGCACATAGGTAAAAGCATGGATTTTCACTTCAGCCTCATTGTTTCTGGACCATCCCAGACAGATGCCCAGAGAGTTGAGAATGCTGCCTCTAATTGCCCCTTGATTACTGGACTGCGAGACAAAGGGAGGAGGGGGGAGGATATGGGAGGGAGGGGGCGACACTTCATTTACTACACGGTCAAGGCATACACGCAGCACAAAGATGAATTAGCTGCATGTTGAGATCACTTTCATGTCACCCACTGTTTCTGCGTGCGCGGACAGAGGAGTGGCATTTTTCATTGTGGCCCAACCGGCATTCATTAGCTCTGGATGGGGCTGAGGTGTTACAGTTGCCTCCCTCGTTTATGGCCAGAGCTCTGCCCTTTCTGTTCAATAAGCATGTGAGGTGAAATATTACACACGTTGGCTATTGTGCTATAAAATGGACGCGCCTACACAACTATAGCCTACAATACATGCTGAGGGTGAGGGTATGTTTGAGAACAGCTGAAAACACAATTACGGCACCTTGCATTCCGCATACCTGTGAAGTGCTGCAGCGTCGTGCCTTGCACCCAAAGGCTCAGCACTTGCTGCACCGACAGATTAACGGAATAATCCCGGTTCGTTGTCATGTTCATGCCGCTGCTGCCGCCGCCGCCGCCCGGGTTCGCACCCCTCTTTATCGAATAGCTGTACTTGGCTTTAGACGAAGGCATGGAGGAGACCGGGGGGGCATGGGATGTGTGAGGCGGCTCTCCCCGGCGCAGCTCGCCTCTACCGGTGCCTCTGCTTCGACTTGACGTCCGTCTCCGCTCCGGTAAGGGAAGGGCCGCTGGCTGGTCGCTTCATCCTCGGTGGTGTCGGTGTTGAGGCCATGATGTGGATGGCAGCGCAGCGCAGGCAGACGCACGGTCGGCTCGTCCAATGTCGGCTAGCCCGGCTACATAACCCTTAAAGGGCCAGTAGCTGTTTTGAGGAGGGGGGGTTACCAGTTACGTTGACACATTGCCGGATTCATGTCGCTTCATGAATGGGAAGCTATTAGTGTGGTGATCCATGATCGGTGATGGGGAACAAAAGATAGCCGCGTTTGCACATGTGCGAAGTAACGTACAGGGCATTATTGATATTAGGCTATACATAATAAAAAAAAATACGAATAATATTCATCCTGACCATTTTATGTATATAGCCTACATAGTTATCAACTGTTAAACATGGTTATTAATGTTATTGTTTTACAGTTGAACTGCTTTTAACTGTTGGCTAGCTGTTGAGCAGCCTAAACTGCCTAACAATGTGGTTGCTAAGCGACCAAAGGAACCCTTACTGAGAACAGTCTGCCACAAATACATATATTTCAGATATATGTAGGCTATATGAAATTGTACATAGCCTACATCTTTCATAAATACAATGTAATATTTAATGCAATGGATTTCTTGGAAAAAATAGAAATAATGAATGCAAGCTACTACCGGGGTGTTGTCCGTGACGACAGATGGATGCAGGGAGCTTTCCATGGTGCTGATTGGCTGAGCCCAAAACGCCTGATGTAATAATAAATAATATGATAGGATGGATGAGATGGATGAGAATGAGAGCAGGGCACAAAGGGATGCCAGTCTTAGTGGCAGGTTATAAGTGAAGTACATAAGCCTTATTGAGAGATACCCAACAGTAGATTTTTTTCTCAGTCATCTCCAGTAGGATTTAGACTAAATCTAAACACAAATGAAAGCTTTTAAAACTGTGTGAAGTGTTACACTTGTCTGATATTGTTTTCTCACGTTGTTGAGCATCATAGAATGTGAAAGAAAAGTTGGATGTGAGAAGCCGGGGAGGAACCTGAGTGTTATGTAGATACTGAATGTTCTGGAACATTTCTCAGAGGTATGGAGTATTTTAAGAAGTGTCCCAGTTCAGAGGTATGAGGGCGAGGCATCTGACATTTGACATCTTTTGAGTTAGTAGAATTGTTTTCTTAATTCAAAGGTTAACAGAGTTGGTTTAAATAGCTGCTGGTCCATGAGGGAATTACTGCACGCTCACATCCCTCTATAAGTTGAGATATTGTTTTAAGAGGCAATCATATACAGAAACATTTAGTTTTACAGTGTAGCAGTATGTGGCAAGGTATTGTTATATGAAAGTTTCCCTTCCTTGTTAAAGATTCTGAACTTTGTAATGTATTTGTCCTGCCATATCTTGGAATGTGTTACTGAAATACATGATTCTGTGTCATGTAGAATCATGTACAGTATTAGGTAATATATTTCCTAACTGTTTCTATGATTGTGCAATGATGAATGAATATGTAAAATATCTCAAGTAAAACAATCATTATTTTTTGAATATATGAAGATTTAATTCAAAAACTCAAAGGCTATTTCTTAATATGAATAAACCACACCAGGGCTGTTCATACTCCCTTGGGCACACAACAACAAAAAGCATGATTTATTTTTGCAAATGATATATCTTCATAAAGTTATTTTTGTTGGGAAAGCATTTTAGCAGAGTTAAGAAACGTGCTGAAAGTTAAATAAAAAATAATGAATGCTTGTAATGTTGTAACAATTTCTAAGAGACAGCAAAATGGTTGTAAGAATGGTTAACGGTAATGTGTGTGAGATGGTGGCAAATGGTCGAAACCAAACTCACTGGTATTATCTTTTAGCCATCATGTTTACATTCCTGTATTTCAAATGTAGGTACATAACAAGATGACCTAAAAAATAAACGTATTGATGTGTTACCTGTGTATATGCAAGTTGACACACTGGGATATTTTGATGTTGCTGCTCATCATTTTTTAGCCATGAATGTGTACTTGCTACTTATTTGTTTTTCATTTTATTCTAATACAACTAATATTGCATTTTTTTCTTTATCTAGATAGCTTATTCTTTATTATTGCATGCCTTTTTTTTACCTGATATACCAATGTTGCTGTAACACTGTATATGTCCCCTCTGTGGGACTAATACAGGATTTTCTGATTCTGATGTTTGTTTGTTATAGAAATGTAAATGTTATATTTCAGACAGCTCTGAGCGAAAGTCCCATTACAAGCTTACTAAACCCTGTTCAATAAAATAAGGGGACACAAAAAGAGCAGTGCTATTTTGTGCTTGTAATTTATTTATTATTAGAATGCCAGAATGACTTTTGAAATACTTCCTGTTTCATCAGAAACGTTTTAACATTCTCTTGCATCATTATCTGCCCTCAGACTTACTAGTCTATAAGACATGGTGTGAAAGAAAGAGTACAAGAAACACAACTTCTTCCCTTTGAACTTGAAAGCACTGTTTGCATATTTTATGATACAATGTAAGCAAAGCCTGTCTCTTACTCCCACTGAATTGTCATTGTCAATTGCCATCAGTCGTTTTTCTTAGTCTTTGCTATCACTGATCACTACTAACCAGAGGTGGAAAAAGTACTCAGAGCTTGTACTTGAGTAAAAGTAGAAGTACCAAAGTGTAGGAATACTCTGTTCCAAGTAAAAGTTAATCAATCAAAATGTTACTCAAGTAAAAGTACAAAAGTATTAGCATCAAAATACACCAGCTATGCTACCAGAATTTCCCTACAGGGATCAATAAAGGTCCATCTTCTAGTATCTAATATTATTTTAAGTGTTGTTTTTATTTCACATTATGAATCCAAATCCGCAAAGTAACTAAAGGTATAAAATAAGTGTAGTGGAGTGAAGTACACTTTTCACCTCTGAACTGTAGTACAAATAGTAAAACATTGAAATACTCAAGTAAAGTACACATCTTTCAAAAATGTACAGTAGATGTACTTAGAATCAGAATCAGAAACAGGTGTATTGCCAGGTAGGTTCGCACATACTAGGAATTTGACTTGATGTCATGGTGCATACATCAAATATAAAAAACAAGAAATCTAATATTAAATTTTTTTGACCTTACACCACTGCTACTAACTCAAACGTATAACATATCACACAGCATAAATAAGTGATGGATCATTGTGATGTCATTCTTGCATTGTACAAAACAACTGAAGAAAGAATATGTGCTATGGTGCTACCTCAGTGACAGCTAGTCTTTGCATGAACAAACAGACAAGACAGCAAAGAGTCAATGAAGGTAATGTTTGGTTTACAAAGCAAATGTCAACCTTTGTTTTCCTTTAAAAGCTTGACTTCTCAAACAGAGTCCTCCACCAATTCCTTAGGAAGCCTTTGTTTTCACTTGACACTTTACAGCAAATCCATCAGCATGTTTCCACGGGTCCTCAATGAGAGCAATTTGTTTGAGAACAGGTTAAACATTTCAACTTAAAAAAAAGAAAAAAAAAGCATTTATTTGTGTCACAATCAATGCTTTAAACCAAACGTTTTTTGAGGGTGTCACTCTTAAAAAATACATAATTTAATAACTGATTTTAAAAGACAGCCAATGGAATCAGGCAATAAAACTAAAAATCCTGGCATTGTAAAGTACAGCAATTAGTAATGAGAGGGATAAATCAAACTAAGATATACCAATATGTACCTGGCTCTATAAGTCTATATCAAGATGTCGAACAAAAGAATAAACATTGTGATTTGACAACCATTATAAATATGAAATGTACATTTTTTGAGGGCTTTATAATAACTACCATGAATGCTGGATTGTATCTTACATTTCAACCTTTAAAGAAATGTATTTATTCAGTTAATATTATTTTTTGTCATGAAGTGATTTGATTTAATGCACACAGTAATTCTTATTTTGTTTCAGTTTAAATATTTCGGTACCACTTTACAATAAGACTACCCTTATAAAGGATTCATAAAGGGTTTATAAGTAGGTTGTAAACACTTTATTAATCATTAAGAACCATTTATTCGGTAAGATGACTAAGCCTTATATTGGCTACTTAGCGAGAATCAACTCAGTGAACAACAGATATCAAGGATGCTGGCTGATGAAAGTCAAAGTAAGCTAGGTAGCCAATATAAGGCTTAGCAGTACAGATACATGTGGGCTCACTATTTGGCAAACAACCGCTCACAGTTGCCCTGTTTATCTCATGTCTTATAAAAGCTTATTAATGATTTATAAAGTGTTCACAACCTAATTAATAAATGAATTACAAACTATTCGTAAACCCTTTATAAGGGTAGTCTTATTGTAAAGTGGTACCAATATTTCTATAAATCTTCTGAGTTTGTAGCATGAGAGGGATTCACCTTACATCTCATTGTGTAACCTCATTGTCAAATCAACAATATGAATGGTTTTCCTGAGAAAGGTGCTTTGGGCTGCCACCCGCTAACCAATGACTACAGTCAATCATTTGTCCCAAGCTCATTAAAATGATCAAATACATAATCATCGTATTTGTTTGCGGAATTTGCATTGTACTGTTCTATAGTCTCATCAGTCATTTGAGTTAGTTGTGGTACAGTAAAGCCAAAGACAATAAAGCTTCAAACTTACTAACTAACTTACCCTGATTTAAACAAATGTTGCCTTGTGGTTGCTTTTGATCTCTGCAATATGTAGACCAACAACAGTTTTTACATTTTGACACAGACTTGGTCACTGGAGGTTTGTAATGTATTCATCTCTACATATTAACATCCTTGTGAGTTGCCTTACAGTGTCTATTATATTTTTTGTTTTTTTGATCTGCATCACAAGCTAACATTTGCTGCTAACATAGTGTCTGTTTGATTACATTTAGCATCTATACCAAATGAGGTTCAATTTAATTCTCACTCTGACTACAGAAGTTTAGATGTGTGGTGTCGGCATGTTAAAATGAACTGTGTCGAGGCATACGGAGCTATGTGGGTGGAGGAGATGAGGGAGCAAACACATCAATGATCATGGCAGTGGGATGAAAGAGTCCTTTGACTCTCCCACAGCTTTACTGCATCTTTGAATGTATCTCAATTGTGCATTGATCCAAGAACAAAATATGTATTTACTTTCAGTTTTACTGAGACATTTTGTTCCCCCCTTAACCCCAAGAGAACCCAGCTCTGTTTTTTTTTTAAATGGGGTTTTTTAGCACATGGTAAACCAATCACCAAAGTTATTAACATATCAAAGGCAATATGTGTGGTGCTAATGAACCACTAGCTGAATGCTAAAATACAGGTTGAATAATAATTAGGTCAAAACATGATTAATACTCCTTGCTGATTACCATGTCATGAATGTCTTTGAAATATTATCCCAATTGAGAAACTTGCTTTTTCACAGTCATATGATTCCCTCGGTTGGCCAGTAGGTGGATTCCTTCTCCCATTTTTCTAACGTCTCCTTCCCTGTAGTTTTCCATAACACTGCTGTTTTCTTTCCCAACAATCATGTCCATTTTTAGATCACAACAAACAAAAACAATGTTAGTGGGTTAGAAGCTGATTAAAAGGACAGTTTATGAATTCTTCCAGCTTGGCTTTATGACGAAATGTTCCTGTTTGACTCTTGACTCATTATCTCCTTGTGTGTCACCAAGCAAAGGCTTCACCACATCTGTCACTGCATACTTTTGAACTGTCAGTCACTGCTTTTGAAAATGTGCAAAGTCCATGTGAATCCCCTTTTCCCATGAAGGGGGCCTTGACAAATGTTTTTGTCTCGGATGGGGATTTCTTTCGTGGGCAACATGAGACGTCACAGTATCCCAGGCAGACTCATGCAGGCATTGTGCTCGCCCACAGAGTCCGCCTCAGGTTTTCTACGGACCTGCAGCATTTCTGACTTATTATAAGACGTTTTTTCATGTATATATTGAGCCTATTGTGTTGATTTTACCTTGGTGTAATCTAATCTACGAGGTGAGATATTCATCTATTCATCTGTGGGTGCTGTGGTCTTCTGTAATTTAGTCTCTCACCATCTTTCTCGTCTTTGCCCCCCTCAGGCAGATGGCCTTGACTGACTCAGGTTAGTCACCAGCAAAGCCCCCTCATCTGGCTAACATCCCTGTCACAGTGAGGACATTCACTGGAACCAACCGGCTGTGTGATGACTCAAGGTACTGCTGCCTTACTGTTACACAAAGACATGCAATCGTTTTACAGTCTTTTAGTCTTTCTTTGTATGACTACCTTTTTCGACCATTGAAAAAAGTTAGGTCAAATCTCTCAAAGGTCAATATGACGAAAACACATTTGTAAACACAAAAATTGTCCATAAATAACAATGTCTCCACTTAATTCCACTATAGGTTCTCGAAAGTGAGGGGTTTGCAAAAAGGTATGAACTAAGTTGCAATCTGCTTCCTCACCAGTAGCGGCCAATAATACTCACAGGACCTTTAAGCGAATCACATGAGAGCTGTGGTTTCCAACACCTTACAATTTTGAAAAAGGATGCAAACCAGAAAATGGTACAAGTGATAACATGTTCTTTAAAATATACATTCAATTTTGTCAGTAACTTTTCTTCTTGAAAGAGTTACACTTGCTTGGAAAGTAGAGATGATGCTAGTTTTTTTATCACTGTGATATCTGTTTTTTCACTAAATCTCAGTCGGTCATCAAACAAAATGAGCAAGTATTTGAAAGTCAGAATGATGACTTTCCCACAAATGTTTCCATTATGGGTCCATTTAATTGATCTGACTGAGGAAATGCATCATGTCTTCACTAGAAGTACCAACTGTATGCTTTAGGAAAAACCTAACAACCCTATTGTTCAGTGCAGGTACATACATCTAAAGTCAAACAGAGTTCAAGGGGGCAGGCGCTTTGATTCCCTTTTGTAGTGAGAACAAGGAGTTCCCAGAGATGGAATCACAAGCCGGGTTATTGTAGCTCCCCTTTGATGGCTCCATAAAGGCAGGTGTTCACAATCACAGTTTAAACAGATTGTGTTTGAAGTGGCACGAGTTAAACCGAGCGAGCGAACAACGGTTTGATCTCTCTTTGGTTCTATGAGAATAGCTGCACCTGAAAAACCCAGTGCTTGACCACAACCAACGGCTACACCTGCATCTGACAAAACCAACCCAGAATGTCCTGATCTTTTCTTATCCACCTTTATCTATCCTATAAAAAATCCTAACCTCTCATATAGGTCAGTGCCGCTTTTAGCACTCATTTCATTGAAAAAAAGACCCCCCTTTGACATATTTGTGTTTTTAGTTCCTTCTAGTATCCTGGGAAATTACAACAAAATGACACTAATGATTAACAGTAGTGGTACTTTATTGCCGCGAGTGGTAAAACTAAGGGTTTATGTGATTATAGGGATCATGTCCCTTTGAAGGGTTACATGAACACAAGTGTTGAGTGACCACTGATGCTGCTGTGGGAAACCTGGAGCGAGGTCCATAAACTTCAGGCAATGTCATACTGATGAAAGACAACTTACTGCCTAGTGTTTAGTTAAGGCTCAAGACTGGAGCAGCGTGGATGAGTGGAGGACATGCTGCTTCATGTTGCTGCACGTGGGTGGATCAAGTCTTTCATTGAGAGAAACTTTACCTCAGGGCACAGATTTTCTGTTTTGGTCAATGTCAGAACAAGGAGTTAATCATTTATGATGAGGTGTTATTTACCTGTCTGAATTAATAATGTTTAACTTTGATATTTGAAATGGAACAACAAGACCACATTCTTGTGAAGGCCACAAGAGGAAAACGGAGTTTAAACTGCTGAAATATCTTTGAAAGGAGGCTAAAAGCAGAACATGTAATAAAACATAACTCTACAGGTGTCTTAGGCCTACGAATGGAATAATATATTACCTTAGTTTATTATGTGAACATGCTTTTATTAGCTAGCACTAAACAGAAAAAAGCTGATGCACATTTGATCATATTTTGGTAGGGGGATGTTTGGTGACACATTAATGTTTGTCCCAAGATATAAAGAAAAAAAGTCAACCTCAAGTTGTGGCCACTAGGAAAAAAATGTATGTGTAGAAAATATTTCAACAACAATCGAACAAAACCAGCAACATTGAGAATGCACTGTCATACAAGTTTCTATGTTAGGATGATCTTACAGCTATGGTATTTTGAAAGTGGTAGTTGAGTTTGCTTACATTTGCTACTTCATGACACGACACTAACAAATAAGATTGTCAAACTCATGATGAGGGAAGAGTATCACCGAGGTCAGTGTTGATCAGCCTCTTTTGAAACATGAATGTATGTACAATATATAATGGTCATCCATCTAATAGATGTTGACAAAAGCCGTGAACTGACTGTAAATATGAACATTTAAAAAAAGATGGCAGGACTGTAAAAAATGCCTCAATGCAGGGCAAAGGTTTAATAAAAACTCATGTTTCAAAAAAACTACTACTGCATGGTCTGTTTCTGTCTTGTAAACTGCAGTGCAGCCAGAAGAGCAGGCAAAATCTGAAACTTCACTTATTCTAACTTAACTCTCCCCTAGAGGCCCATATCCATCCCAGGGTCACTATAACTTGTCTGGAGAGGGGTGGGGGGAAGGGAAAGGGGACAGATGCCAGCAGTATGTGGGTGATGCAGACAAGCTTAACACTGAACTTTCCAGAAGCATAAATGTTCCCGGCACGTTTTGAGTCAGTCAAGCAGCCAAAAACCATCCACTCCCAACAGACATATCAGCGTCTGGGATCTTTAGGAGGGGGGAACATAATGACCCATATAAAACGGCTGTCTACATTATACTTAGGCTATCAAGACACTGGGCTGTTGCCATCACAGTCCAGGTCAACTTAAAAATGCAACGGACTGTGTCAGCTTAACACCGGCAGTACTCACTGCACAATAAATGACGAAAAGGCATTTATGATTTCCGCTGATTAGACGTCTATACAAATTGGGACAAAAGCTCTTGAATAACCAGCAAAGACCTCTACTGAGATAAGAGCCCTTATGTTCTTGATGTAGGAGAGAAGATGAGAATGATTCTGACTACAAATACCTCCTGACTACAAATACCTCTGTAGCAGCATCTGTATCATCAGTTTAGTTAGTATGTGTCAGAGTGGTATCAACTGGATAGACTCAATGGACTCTAGACAAATAAAGGTATTTCTGAGATGTTGTGAGCAGTTTGATGCTGTTGTGTTCCTTCTTTGACAAGACTAACATATCTTTATCACAAACACAAGCTCCTGTCTAGACGTAATCTGCTGTAGATCTGCAAGAAAGAAAAACAGATGATGAAGAGTTAAACAGTAAATTATAGCTAATTGAGTCCATCTGATTAATTGTTTTTACTTAAACCTATATGCAATGCATTGCTAAATACATGGGTTTCACCCCGGGATTTAAGTTATTGAAGGCAAACTGCTTTATACTTTTGTAGGCCTATATGTTTTTGCAAGAATTTTGCAAGTCCCTGTTTTATATGTTCTATCTTGCTAATGGGACAGACTCATCTCCAAAATGCCATTTCCACTGATAAACCTATCCTCACAGAGATAAAACTCCACCACATCCTGTCTGCATTTTACAACAAGAGGAAGAGTGTGTCCCTTTAAGAGTGGCTTTTCTATTTTTTTTTACTGTGGGTGTGTAGCTTTCTTAGAGCATAATGTATGACTCCATGCAAATATTTATACTTAGCTGCCTTAAGTCATCCTTAAAGCCTGCAGCGGTTAGACTAAACAACATGTATGTTATTCCTCAGAGCTCTGAGTGGAGACCTTGATCCTCCTGAGGTATCTGTGTGTCACTATTCCCATAATCTTCTCCATTCATTCCTTAAAATACATGGATAAAATCAACAACCTTACATGAACATTATTGCTTTTCTCTGTGAAATCCATCGGAAAAGCCCCAGATGAAACATCACCCAATTAAAAACATGTTAACCCTGTAGCCTACCCCCAACAGCGATGTTCCCAATTCAGCAACTGTCTGACACTTACTGGAATGTTGGTTGTGTATTTTGATAACCTTTGCAAAGCCAAAAAGAGCAAACTTGTAAGAATATTGAATGTAGTGTGTTTTAACATAGCCTACGGTAAAACAATAGCTTCCCAGGCTAACTGGCTAAAAGGTAAAGGAATAAAGTAACCTGGTTGGCTAACCTAATGATTTTTCAAAATAATAAGAACATGTATGTGAATACCCCCTTGACAACAACTTAACAATAGCATCGGTAAACGTAAGCCAAGCTCATTTTCAAACCATTTTCTCTTGCAAATGTAAAACATTAAAAATATGAACATCAAAGCGCTGGCTATAGCCTATTATAAAAAAGCTTTGTGTTGCATTTAAAAACACATTTATTTTTCTCTGATAAGCTTTTAAATGTTAAAACAATTAATAGTGGCGTTTATTTAAAAATATATAGAACGTAATGTATTATAATATAATGTGGCCTAGAAAGAACAATGTCTGATGCTGCTTCTCGTTGTGGCTTCTAAAAAGGTCATCGGCTAGTGACAGATGTTACAATTAGCTTCGATCTTTCTTCATTGCATGGACTGTGTTTTGGCCAACATGTACTTATTTAAGACCCTTTACTGGTCTTTACTTTAAAACAATCCGTTGAAAACATTGAAAAGATAATGTAGACATCCATCCATCTTCTCCCGCTTATCCGTGGTCGGGTCGCGGGGGTAGCAGTTCCAGCAGAGAGCCCCAAACTTTCTTTTCCCTGGCGACATCAACCAGCTCTGACTGGGGGATCCCAAGGCGCTCCCAGGCCAGCGAAGAGATATAATCCCTCCACCTGGTCCTAGGTCTACCCCTTGGTCTCTTCCCAGCTGGACGTGCCTGGAACACCTCCCTAGGGAGGCGCCCAGGTGGCATCCTAACTAGGTGCCCGAACCACCTCAACTGGCTCCTTTCGACGCGAAGGAGGAGCGGCTCAACTCCGAGTCCCTCCCTGATGACCGAACTTCTCACCTTATCCCTAAGGGAGACACCAGCCACCCTGCGGAGAAAACCCATCTCGGCCGCTTGTATCCGCGATCTCGTTCTTTCGGTCATGACCCATCCTTCATGACCATAGGTGAGGGTAGGAACGAAAATGGCCCGGAAGACAGCGAGCTTTGCCTTCTGGCTCAGCTCCCTTTTCGTCA